ATTATTTCATATGCTAAATAAATTCATGTTTAGATAGAAAAACCTTTTTTAAAGGCTTATTTTTCTGAACTGCGATGAGCTCTACATGGATTAGCAGAATAGACCATCAGTTTAAAAAGTCAGCTATAATATGGATGTAGGTTCTTCTAAGACAAAATGAAGCAATTATTTGTGGAGAAGAATCCACAAACCAACTGAACTTGGCATTACAATACTGAATTTCACTCTTGATTTTTTTATATAAGAACAACATTTACTTGATCTTTACCATTTTTTTAAAGCTTTTAAAGAATTACCAGTGATACATCTTTTCCGGCCTGAGGCTCTATTTATTAAACAAATATCTCAAGTGGAGCCTTTAATAATTGGACAGTGCAGTCCAGTAGTTAACAGAGGTTATTTATCAGGAAGTATGTAGACAGCAAAGCACAAACCACTATTGGGGGTGCTGAAAAATGACTTGCTCAGAGATAGGGGAACACTCAAAAGTTACTGGCCAGAATAAGTACACTTGGATTGATTGACACCAGCATTATTTCTCTCAGAGTGATTTGGCACAAAATAATGGAGTATATTTTGCAACATTTTGCATTATTTTTCTTGACTTTGCAATGAATAGGAAACTTTGGTATCTCTTTGAATAAATACTTCATTTTTAAAGTATTTACCTCTGAGAAGTTATAANATCTTAACTAGTTGTACAGGGAGGACAGGTGCAAACTTCTTGAAAGACAGACGGATGTCTGGATTAGGGCTATGGCCAAGTTGGGGAGAAGGAATGAGTTTGTTCTTGTCATTACAGTACAAAAATGATTTATCAACTGGTACTTAACAAGCATGACCTTGAGAGTCACCTTACCCAATGAATTTAGTGAACTTTGTAACTCATGCTAACTTAGTGTACGCCATCAATAGCTACAGATAACTGTTTCCAAGTAAAGTTTGCTGGGTCCTTACTGAGGACAGGAGGCTGCAGTTCAAGCCCCTTCCAGATACACAATCCTGCAAGCTGGGTCTGGCAAGTTGGTATGGCCCCGGACATGGAAGGATTCTTACTTTGACTGTGAAATAGAACAACCTTTTGCTTTGGGGTTAGAGATTTCTCTAAAATGTACTGAAGTCACAATGTTTCTCCCAAAGGAAAAATAACATTCACTTAGAGACTGTGGTTTAACAGTAGGTAGACATCTGACCTTAAGGACCATTTATGTCCTAGTCCCCAAATATTTGTTTTGTGCCACCTTTGCAGAGAAGAGTATGAAACTGGTTGCTTCTGAGGGTAAAAATTAGGAATAATCACCTAAAGAGATGAATAAGTGGCAAAAGAAACAAGTGTTTGTTCCTGGGTCCACCCCCAGGTTCATGACCCCTCCTTGCCTGGGGGCAGAGGGCCAGAAGGGCTCTGTCATCGAGGGGAAGAGGTCAGGCAGGAAACCTTCAGGGATCTGACGGTGGATAAAATTTCTGCTTGGAAAGGAAGTAGTACTTCATCTCTTCTTTTATATCCAGGTTTGTTTTGAAATATATGTACAGAACTTCCCAATTAGTCATGGGGTCACTAATCGAGGGCAAAATACCAATTCTGATTTCATGAATTGCACAAATTTGTTTTCCTTACTTGGGTGTGAGGGGAAATCTAGACAATTCAGGAAGAAATATAGAGATTATTTTGCATTGAAGAAAGAAAATCAAAATTAAATCTGTGCTTTGTAGGGCTACAGTGCAGGCGCTTCTGAAATCAGCTGCTTCTGTTTCTACCGAGGAAGTAACCTTGGTCACTCACATTATCATTGGGATAGAGGACCCGGGAGATGTTCTCGGCCAGATTTCGGTCCAGCACAGCCTGGATGTAGTCTCCAACGTTAACTGGGGGGAATGTTAGAAAAATGAATAAACAGACAAGCCAGCCATTGTTAGTTATCAAAGTCCCTTGATATCACCTGATGCTTGCTGTGTAGCATGTGGGATTCCTAAACATCCAAAAGGATTTCAACAAACCTTCACGCTGTGATTCACAGGAGAGTCTAAGAAGGCCAGACTGAAGGACTGCTATAAAAATGTCCTCCATACTTGCTCCATGAGATGGCTGCGTAGTCACTGTAGAGTTCAAATCAGAAACTCGAGGCCTTTTTCTCATGCTCAATTTGGTTCTAACTAGTGATCAAGAAGAAACCATGTATGTCCTAATCCCCAAGTTTCTTGTTTTGTGCCATCTTTGTAGAGTATAAATTTGCTCCTGAGATCCACAAGATTAAGCACACACACAAAAAACAAGAGCCCACGCTGTACTCACAGTCTTGGAGGTTGAAGTCATTGGGTGCCCGAGCAGACCAGAGGCGCATGGTGTTGACGGTGTTATTCCTATACCCAGGGACTGGGGTGTCATACGGCAGGGCCAGCACCACCTGTGGGAGTAAAGTGAAGCAGCTGCTCACTGTTTCCCACGTGTGATGACGTAGGTTGAACAATGGGCTGGGATATAGCAACTGGAATCCTATTCCTGGCTCTATCACCAACTCAAATTGTGAGGTCTAAACGAAGACAGGGGTCCTAGGGCCAGAGGGGTCTTAGGGGCCAGTGTGGATCCTCCTCCTACTGGAACAATCTGGAAGGCCAGAACCATCCTCTATGTCATTTCCATGTTGACTCCTCTTTGTGTCCCTTTCCTTGATCTGGATCAGATCTTTCATGTTTCAGATCAAGCCACTGCTCTAAGAATAATAAAATATGATGTGCAAACAAAGTGACAAATGTGAATCTCTATGCATTAAAAAAGCGGTAATCAGGATAAGTTTAGTGTAGGTTATTCAATGATCTGATTTCAAATATGGTAAAAAAAATCAATGAAACAGGAAATTTATGAAGATAGAATATTACATATGCTATTTAAAATGCTAGGCTAGGCTTTTCAAAGTTGCATGATGAAGAGTTATTTTAGTGATCTGACAAATCAGCTGATATTAACCAAGATGGGTCTAAGAAGTGAGCTTTGGAAAATCTAGCTCAATCTTTGTGACAGTCATTGAAACAGAGAAGAACAGGAAGATGAACTATGTCTCACATGAATTTAAAATTTATGTGGGAAAAGACTCATTTCTATTCCCTGCCTCATCAGAATCAAGCTCTAAGGAGAGGGAATGACAGGTTAATTGAATAGGAGGTTGCTAGAGATCATTTAGTGCAACCCACTCATTTTGTAATTGAGGAGAATGAGGCTGAGAGAGAAGTGACTTGGCCAAGGTCACCGTCAGTGGTAGGTTGAAATCTAAACACTTAAAACAATTAAATCTCTTTATTTGAGTCTGCTGAATTATGAATGAATGAAGCATTATAGTGTATATTAATCAATCACACATATTCAGTCATGCTTCATGGACGCCATGACCTTGAAGTAATAAGTCACCCTTCTTTAAATATCTTTCACTAGGAAATAAAAGTCTCTGGAGATTTTTAAAGCAAGTTGTGATCAATCAGGAAAAGTCATTTACAAAGTGGGCTGAGTCTGAGTTCAAACACAATTTGTCCTGCTGAACATTGAAGCATAATTGAGGCAGCCAGGGAAGCACATGGCTCGGATGTCCCTTTAGAGAGTTTCAGGCAGAATTGTCATCTCTGAGCTCTGACCAAGGCCATGCTTTCTCTGGGATGCTTCCATTGTGGGGCACGAAAGCTGGGACTCCTCTNAAAAAAACATTACTTGGAAATTAAAACATGATATCAAAATGAAAAACACAATAGAAGGATTGGAAGAGAGTTGCAATTATCCAGAAAGTTGAGCAAGAAGACAAAAAGATGATAAATATAAGAAAAAAGGTAAGAAAACTAAAGGGCTAGTTGAAGACGTTCAGTAGTTCTAGACCACTTCTTAGAGAACTGTAGTCCTGTGTTCCCAGACTGAAAGGATACCCAGGCCCGATTCACACCAAAGCATCCACCCCCTCCAAAAAAAAAATTCAGTACAATCAGAATCGTATTGTACTTCTTAGCCACACTGAAAACTAGAAGACAACAAAAAATGTCCATGTGTTCTGCATCCAGGCAAACTATCAATGTGAGGACAGAATAAAGACATTTTGTGATATGCAAGGTCTCAAAAACAATGACCTTACGTCCATCCTTTCCCAGGAAGCCCTTGGAACATGTGCACTACCAAAACAAGGGGGTAAATAAACAAAAGACATAGAATCCAGGAAACAAATGACCCCAGAAAGTAAATGAGCACAGGGGTTCTCAAAATAACGGGGAAGAAGATCCAAGTTGACAGTGGAGCAACCAAGCAGAAGAAGCTTTTCCAAAAGACTGAGTTAACAGAATACATAACGTGTTTGCATATACTGAGAGGAAATTTCTACAGCTGAGGTAAAGTGTAGGTGAAATTAGGGGAAAGCACTCAGAAACCCAAGCAAACAAAACAATTATTAACTCCAGGAAAAAGAAAAACTTATTAAGGAAAGGAAAAATAATCATTATATGATGACACATACATGCACAGACCAGCATCCTGAAGCATTTATATGGTGATAATAAGTTAAACACTGATTAAGGAGCTAGTGAAAATTACGATGTAATTATGTTGAATGAACTGGGACAGGAAATATGTGTTTGTGTGGTGGGGGTGGGAGTGTATGTGAGAGAGTGAGCTTTATTCTCATCTTCAAAATTGGAGAATCTAAACAATTGTAAAAGCAGGAAAACCAAGAAGTAACAACAGCATATTATTAGAAATAATGAGGGAAGAATCCAGAAAATCAATCAAAAGCAAGGGGATGTAGTTGCTTTTGGGAAGTGGGAACTAGGAGACCATGTTTTCATATAAGCCTCACAGAACTTTTAAAGCTTTTCTCTTTAAACTCTGTACATGTATAACTTTGATTAAAATTTAAAAACCAAATTAAAAATGAAAAGTCATTAATAGGAAACTGTCTGGATTAATATCATTAATGGGAATTATACGTGGAATCAGAATTTTTTTTTAACTTTTTGGTACATTTTTATATTGCTCACANCTCTGCTATTAATTCGGCAAGCCCTGGGTTGCAGAGTAGTAGCCAGCGCCTTGGAGTGATCCCATTGGTTTTGTTCTGAAACTTGTCTGGTTCTAGCTCACTGAAGTCCTTGAACCTGGAGATAGAAGAGACACATCACTGAATTTGGCTGAAAAGGCAGGTCCCAGTATGCAGGACGAAGTTCAGAGTTACCATATTTCCCCATGTATAAGACACACCCTTTCCCGAAAAATTTGGGGTCTAAAAACTGCGTGTGTCTTAGACTTAGTGGTTGTAGATCGTTGTCAAGTCATTTAAGAAGTGTGGCACTTCAAATGCCATAGACGGAACTGAGGACGAGGCAATATATGAAGAGTGATTCGTCATCAGACACAGATGAGGACAAGCTAATGGTTGGGAGTTTTGACAGTGATGAGGAGTTCTATGAATTTTATGATGAATTTTATGATGAGTTCATTAACTTTATGTAATACATTTTTTTTCCAAGTTTCAGGCCCCAAATTAAGCTGCGTCTTATACATGGGGAAATACGGTACTTTTAAATACTTAGAGGGGCCTTTCCTCCTCTGCAAACAACCCTCCATTTACCAGCCCCACTCCATTAACAGAGAACCATTAGGCCCACCACCCTGGGAATGAAAGCTCACACTTGGGTCTTTACGATGTCTGAGTGGATTTTAGCTACACCATTCACAGCATGGGAGCCCACAATGCAAAGATGGGCCATGTTGATCCTTTTGCCTCCTTCCTCTTCTATCAGAGACATCCTTCTCAGACGGTCGACATCCTTAGGAAACAAAGCCGCAATTTTCTAGCCAAAGGAAGAGAAAGGCCTTATTGGTCACTTTTGAGCTTTACAGCAACACTGGGATAACACTGCTCACTTCCCAAGCAAAATCTTTGATGGAGAGAATATAAAACTTCACTCCTCCAGGGAGAAGCCGAGTTAGTCTTAGGGAGATGCCATTCCTCTATTTTAGTATTTTAAAAAAGATGTCTTTAAGAGTCCCATCAGACTTGGATACTTTTGATGTATCAATGGCTGCAAGTGGTTGGGCCTGAAGTTTGGTAAGAGGGAACACTCTTAACGTTTCAAGACCTCATTCTAAAAAAGGGGTATGAATCTCTAAAATGACTTACATCTAAATGCTTCTGATTTATCTCATAAATGATTTGCAAATGTCGAGGCAGCAGCTTCTCCACCAGCTCTACAGGCCAGCGCTCCAAGGCTTCTGGGAGCACTGTGTGGTTGGTGTATGCGAAGGTCTTCTGGGTGATCTCCCATGCCTGCGGGAAAGGGACGGTCAGCTGCTTTCCTCTGAAGGAAAGACTGCCCTGCGGGTGCACACCCCATCACACAGAGCCAGACATTTCCTCAAGTCCCGCCAGTCTGCAACAGGACAATTCTATCTGCTTGTATAGTTAGACACCCCCTGATTCCTGCAGGCTCCTGAATGGTCCAGAGAGTGGGAACGTGGTTTTCTTGAGGGGGAAAAAAGGCAGCTACTTGTAAAACTAAATGATAAAACTTAAGAAAGCATACTGAGAAACCTTTTCTACTATCCTGTCTTTCATTTGTTAAATAAACAAAATCCAAGGGAAAAAAATTAAGGAATCCTGTGTGAAGGTACAAAGTATGTTTAAAATACTGACTTCCGAAGCAACAGGACACATTTTCAATGAGCTGTGTTCTGAGGTGAGAGCTTAATTTAGAACCCTTTAAGACCCAAAAATGGTAAACACCATATAAGCCTTGATACTGCTGTTAAGCTGAGTCCCATCAGAAATGTGTTTATTTCTTAGTCTTACTCTCCGTATAGCAGTAAAGACAGAGAAATATCAGCACCAGAGCAAAATCTACCTTTAACTGTTGGGAGTTATCAACAGTAACTTATTTTAAAAAACTATAAAAGGAGTTTTTGGCAAAATCTCTCCACCA